ATCTTCATCTTCATCTTCATCTTCATCTTCATCTTCATCTTCATCTTATCTTTATATTTGTTTTTGATTATATTCTTGTCTTTGCATTAGTCTTTTCTCGCCCAATTGGCGTTTAACGCAGCTATTCGTTTTCTATACCTGTCATATGCTACTTGTACCGTGGCGTTAAATATTTATCGCAAACATAACGGAGCTATAATAATAAGTTTTGCTTCAATAATTTGAGTTTAACTTTTTAAACAGGTGGCCACACTCTTCAGGCACCTCAAAAATATTTTAATTGTGTTTCTGTAAGCTCTTTCTGTACTGTATAGTATTTTAAGCGTAAGACTTTTGTATAATTTAACTAAATTTTACTTTTGAAACAGGTGGCAACCCTCCTACATTTAGCTAGAAAATACAACTTATTCAAAACCATTTTTTTGATACCCATATTGGGATAATTCGTTTAACTTAATAAATAATTTGAATTTGATTTTCGTATATATGGCAACCCTTTAAAAGACTAAAACCATACTGCACATCTGCAGGTCAAGCCCTTTCATGTGACACCTCATTTTTGAAAATCGTACGAACGATACAGATTTTATGACTTGATGTTAAATATTTTACGCAGAGAAATTTTGAATTCGATTTTCTAACATGTGGCAACTCCTTTCATGGAACTAAAGCTATATTGTAAACCAGAAGGACAAGGCCTTTCATGTGACACCTCATTTTTAAAAATCGAACGAACGATACAGATTTTATGACGTGGTGTTAAATATTTAACGCAACCCTCTGCGGCAGAGAAATTTTGAATTCGATTTTCTAACATGTGGCACCTCCTTTCATGGAACTAAGGCTATGGTGTACACCCGAAGGATAAGGCCTTTCATGTGACACCTCATTTTTAAAAATCGAACGAACGATACAGATTTTATGACGTGCTGTTAAATATTTAACGCAACCCTCTGCGGCAGAGAAATTTTGAATTCGATTTTCTAACATGTGGCAACTCCTTTCATGGAACTAAGGCTATGGTGTACACCCGAAGGACAAGGCCTTTCATGTGACACCTCATTTTTTAAAAATCGAACGAACGATACAGAGTTTATGGCTTGGTGTTAAATATTTAACGCAACCATCTCCGAACTCGACTAAGAAGTTTAACTTCAAAAATAAAAATACCACAATAAATACATGAATTATGTAAGAATACATAATAAAATTTAGAAAAAAAAGGTTTTTTTCTTAACAGCGGCCGCCCCCCCCGCAGGCAATGGCAAACCTCCGAGTGTATTTCTGCCATGAAAAACAGATTCTCGTAAAAGTAGTAGAAGTGTGCATATCCCCACAGATAACGCACACACCAGCTGCAGTGGCGACGCGTGTGACCAAATTCCTGGCAGTTATGACATTGGACAGGGCTTCTACGCTTATGGGGTTCTTCTATGGAGATTTTACGGTGTAGAAGATATAGCAATTGATACATTTTATTTTCTTGATATATTTATTTCTTTCTTCAGGTTATATAAGCCAGGTTCTAGCTCTATTTTGAACATCGGTTGAGGGATGTTTTCTTTATTTTTGATGTTGAAAACATTGCGCACCTTAAAACCTTCTTCCCTAAGAGCATTTTCTATCTCCTATGAGTTCACGCTGGACACGATGCCTTCTATGACAACTTCGAGTCCTCGACTACTTTTAAGTTGGTAGGTGTAATAAGATTTCTTACACTTATCAAACTCATTAGAAATCTTCCCTTAAACTCGTAAAAGCATCTTAACCTCGTAAAGCTCGTAAATTTACGAGCTTCGTAAAAGAACTGTCAATCCCCTAATTTGTAATTTTACGAAAAATATCTTCGTTTTGAGCCTGAATTTCCGCTTCGTGTATATTACCATTTTTAATAGGAACTACATGAAAATTACTTTTCCCTACTAGTTTCAAGAGAGTATCTACCAAAGCGTTAGAACTTCGTTCTCGTAGATAAATAGGTGGAGGCTTGTATTTTTTAACTACCTGCTGATTAGAATCATTATTCATATCAGCGAAAATACTAGAACGATTATTCTCCGCCGATGTACATAGATGTACCTGAAATGACTACTTTCATAATTTTATTTTGTGGGCTTTGTTTGCAATTTTTTTCAGGTGTGCGCTTTCGCTTTATTAATATGTAGCGATCTAACCCAGTCTGAGTAGTAGCATTTTTTGCTTTATTTTCTTCTCCTTTGTTTGTTGCCGTCGACTACGTCGAAACTGGAAACCACAGTATAGACAGTAGCCAACCTTTTTGGGTTGTTGTTGTAGTAATCGTTGTTGTTGTAGCTACATTCACCCTTGAGGAAGGCACTGGGTTGTGTGCTGCTATTTAATGGCCTTCCTCAGACTTTTTCTTAGATTTCAGGGTTGTGTGCTGCATTATTTCTAGATAAATAAATTTAAGCCTTTGACAAATCGTGATTTTATTAAAAGAAAATTATAAATGGTGTTGAAAAACCAAACAAACGCTCGTGCGAAAGCTCTATTTTTGTATGTTGTTAAAGTTTATACATGGCGATATTGACGGTAATACAAGCAATGTATTCATTTGTGGATTTGATGTCACTTGAGAATTAACGCAAGCTTTTCCGCGTGGTTGCCTTTCAATAAATAGAATTAACAAATATTCGCAAATAAATTTGATTTATTTTATAACTGACAGCTAACGTACCCTTTTTGTTCTTTTCCAGACTCCATTTTGATTTTTAATCTTTATTACCGCCAACAACTTTAAGGGCCGGTTGTTCAATGTCTGGTTATCACTACTTGCCGGTTAAACATCATTATCGACGATTTCGACATCATGCATATAACATGTGATCGATAAAGTAGTCGTTGTGTCTAACCGGAGCTTCTACCTCCGATTTGTGCTTATCAGACATTGAACAACCGGCCCTAAGTGTATACATATTTACAAGCTGTCAAAATTTTGCGTGGTTCCACGAGCTAGGTAAAAATTATGACGTTCGTATTAACAACAAGAAATCTCAAAATTTTGTTTTGTTTGATCTTTCCAAATTTTCAATTTTTAATAAGTTGTAATTTCAGTAAAGTAATTTCATGGCAATTAGTAGAAAAGTCCCATGGTGTAATTCTTGCTTTAAAATTTTTCACCAGCGCATAGTGCTGTGTCTCCATATAAAAAGTGGGCAAAAATAGAATAATGGACGGATTTGAGTAAAAATTCGTTTCTTGGTGGATTAGAGTACGGAGATTTCAATTTACCTAGCTCTTACATTTTTCATGGAAACTGAGATTGAAACTGCAAAATTTGATATTCAGAAGTAGTTCCAATACTGAGTAGTTATTTTATTATTTATACAGGGCGTTTTCCTAATAATATTAAAGACTTCAAGGCTTCATTCTATGGCTTAATTCATGGCAAATAAGATTCCCTATATCTCTCTTACGCAAACCCTCTAGGAATGGCAGCTACTTTCATTTTGGTCCTTTTTGACTACAAAATGTTTTTTTAAATTGATTATATCTTTTGGTGTGGATGTCACACGCTTAAAAAATTTGATTCATTCAAGACGACATTAAATACTCAAAAGACAAATATAATTTTGTTTTCCTTTTTATTAGTTACTTCGCACGAACAAGAGTTGTTGCAAAATACTGAATCAAAAAATTATTTGTTTTATCTAACGCCGTTTATTGAAAAATTAAAGTCATCATGCAGTCAAATTCCAAACTACTCAGCAAACACACTAGTTCATTGGCTATATATTTTGTGGTGTATTCATACATGAATTGTGGTGTATTCATACATGAATTTTGTGGTGTATTCATACATGAATTCATTCATGAATTTCGGGTTGAAATCATACTAGTCAGAAAAAGTGTAATCTATACTAGAAATCATACTAATCAGAAAAATCCCACCCCATAGTATACCAACTAGAATGAATGTCAAATTCGTGGACTAGTATGACAAGTGGTAGGATCTTGACGTGCATACTGACTAGTATGTTCTGGCGCATAGACTGAGTAGTATGTCAACTGCTATGATTCTGATGTATATAATGACTAGTATGCCAACAGGTACGATCATGACGTATATACGAACTAGTATCTTAAATGGTATGATATTGATGTATATATTGACTAGTATGTCAACTGATATATTGCTGATGCAGAGGCTGACTAGTATGCCAACTGGTATAGTGCTGATGCAGAAGAGGACAATTGCCATCTCGTAGGACATCGCCGCGGCCAGTTGCTTATATGGAAAAATTACAGAACTCGAACTAGTTGAGGCCGTGTGGCTGACTAGTATTTGATTAGTATAAAAATAATTGAGTTGACTGAAGGGTACTTATTGCTTTTAAGTTTCTTCAGCATCGACTAAATACTCTTCCAGCTCGTCCATTGTATAAACTGCATTTTTGTTTGGGATAGCACTCCTTTTAAAAACTACTTCAGGATCTGATGATATTGTTAAGTATGACATCAAGTCTCTGTTTGTATGCTCCCGAGCAGTTTTACGTGTATGATCATATCGTACGATACGTATGTGTTTATGTAAAGCTTCCAGAGCTTCCTCTGAAAAATTGCCTGTGGGAATAAATTCGTAGTAGTAAAAAATGCCGAATAGCAACAAATCGATTTTCTTACCAATTGGTAGATCGAAATACTCAATAACCTCACACCCATGCATCAATATTTTATGCACGCTGCTAGGCATGTAGTACCATTCGTATTCAGTCAAATACATTGTTCTTGTCCTTATAAGGAGCTCTCTAAACGCGTCGATATTAATACGCATTCCACACGATATTAATCGCAGTATTATTGAAAAATTTTGAATTAGATCTTTATTAATGCCGGTAATTTCTGATGCCACTTCTGCATTTGAAAAAAATTTGCGAGCTGTGTTGCCATCATTAGTTGTTCCAAATCCAGTCTTTACTTGGTCCACTATTAAGCCTAATCTTGTCCTAAACTCATTTTGAATCCTAACTTTATTCGCAGAAAAGGCGTCTTTGTTTTCTTTGCGAACTTGCCAGCATTTAAATGTTAAACGGTATGCGATGTGGAGTAAACACTCAAAACATCTAATCCAAGCATGCAGTGTAGACAACCCATACTTGTAATGATTAGCGATTGGTACTTTTGTAAAATTAGTAACATTCATTTCGGTCGGTTTGCCATGGCAAATAATACAGTTACTGGAAGCATTAGTGCCAGTCAAAATA